TGGAGATCATGTCTGATAGCTTGGATGTGCTCGAGATGCAGGAGTTCTTCTCGGAGCTGCTCTTCTGGTACGATGGCCACGTTAAAGTACTGGAGACCTCGGACTTGTCGGACTTCTATCTGCTGCAGCAAAGCGAATTCAACCAGATTGTCAACTTTCGCTACATGTTCGGCGCCTCTTTTGGGCAGGAATTGATAACGGTCTGGTTCAACAATATACCACTTCATGCTGCTCCATATGGCCTCAATTTGGTGCACAATGTGATTGCACGGTAAGACCTTAACTACTGGACAAACCAAGTTGGTTTCAAACCATCGTCAAATTGCCCCGTTTCCATGAAATCGATAAGGATCGAAATCATGCTTCTGTTTAAAGCATATCTTGATGCTTTTTATAGTCAGAGAAAATGTAGTTCAGAATATTTCACCTTTTGGATATCCTACCGAAATTGTCGGAAGCGCTTTCCTATAAAGTGTAGCTTTAGATAGACTAGTTTGCGTGACAGACAAAGACTGAGAATCTTTTTTTTTTTTTTGTTAACACCCCAATCGACTGCAAAATGATTTTCAACGATTTGCGGAAAATCCACCCATTCTGGTAGCAAATGGTCTTCAAGGGTTGTTTGACAGAAAATGAAATTTGTTGCCCAAGACTCATTTCAACTTGAAGCGGGCGTGTAATGGGTGAAAAAGTTGAGTCCAAATTCAGAAGCGAAAACTTGGCCGAGTAATACACGCTATTATAAATACAATATAATTATCATATATTACTTACCTGGTCTTATCAACTGCAGGCGCTTTGTCAACGAGGAGTCTTCCATCGATGTGACCCTGCAACCGCTGCCATTTAAGGCACGTGTCAACACGCTGCCACAGACGCCGCTTAGCCTGGGCGGCATGATGGCCATCAACTTCTCTTTTATATTCAGCAACTTGTGGCAGGGCATAGCCATTGCCAGCATACTCGAGAAGTCCTTTAAGAAGCAACAGTTTCTCACAGGTGTGCGGCTTTCCCTATATTGCTTCTGCCTCTCCATCTTCGATGCCTTACGGGTGGTGCTGGTTAGCATTCTCATGATAATGATGATAGCTGTCTATCTGAGTCCGCGACACGACTTTCATCTATACAGTGCGTACTAATTAAATGCACCTATCATTATGCAGTTCCTCATTTTAGGCATTATTTCCGCAGTCTGGATATTATTTGCGCTGATTATGAATGGCTTCTCTGTCATAACATTATCCTTCGCTCTCACTAGCATTTTCAAGGAGCCAAATAATGCATTTATTGCAGTTTCTTTCATAAATACCATCGGAATAATCATTTTCACGCTAACTGTCGGCGATAGGCTGGCCGACATGTACGATGCGTTCCAGGCATTACCCCAATATACCTTCAGTGAGATCGTGTTCAAGCTATTATTTCTGTACGAGTACCATTGGCTCTGCAAAGATGAAAATATCCAATTCGTCTCGTCGAAAGTTGAGAAGTGCCGAATTATTCCAAACTGTTGCAGTTAAGTATCCACCTACACATAATACATACATATATGTAACGAGAAAGAGATATTTTCATCAGCATTTACGACCTAATCACTAATCCTTATCCTTTCTCGTTTTTAACTTCAATAAATACACAACAAGAGGCTGGCTATGCAGATAAATATCCTCTTAGGCTTATGACCTAGAAGGGACTTAAAGTAAATGCTTTGCTTTTGACCAATTCTTCCGATTGAAACGATTTCGCAGATATGTTCAAAGAGTATTTAGTCGTGCGATTTGTGCCATTGGTCCATAAATATTGAAAAGCAAGATTTTTATTATTGCCCGATCGCTACCATGTCGGCTATTTGACATATTGATCCGGTCCGTTTTGTAACGATAGACTTAGTTTGCATAGACACAGGCAGAAGGACGGACAGACAGACGGACATGGCTACATCGAAAATAAGAGCATAAAGAATTGACACATCCTGGGCATTTTCTCTTTGCGTCCACAGTCTCGTACGATTACTGGAAGGGAAACTATGGCGTGGTCTTTGATGTATTCATGTTGCTCTGCGCAATAATGGTGCCCTTAACTCTCTTCCTTGTGGGAGAACAGTACACGCTAATGGCATGCGCGTGCCTGCACCGGACAATACCGAAGAAGTGCATTTGGAGTGAGAAGCAGGATCATCAGGCGCGCCATGAGGGCATGGGTACCTATATGGTGGACGAGTCTGTCATTGCCGAACGGCATCGCGTTGAGAAGCTGAATGAGCAGGAGCGGGCAGAGCTTGCAGCCGTCTGCCAGGGCATTGGCAAGAGCTATGGCAAGAAGACTATACTAATACGCATAGATCTTTGCATATCCAAGTAAGTGGCACAGCATTTGACCTCGAGCATATTCAGAGCTGGTAATTGCGTCTCTCCACAGAGCCGAATGCGTTGGTCTCATGGGCTACAACAATACCGGCAAGACGACACTGGTCAAAATGATGGTGGGGGAGACACGGCCGTCGCATGGGCGCATCTGGGTAGGGGGCTACAGCATGGAGCTAGAGCGCGCCAAGTGTTATCCTCTGATGGGATATTGCGCCCAGCTATCGATACTGCCCAAAGATATCACACCTCGCGAGATACTCTACATTCAGTCAAAGCTGCACGGGCTGCCCACCCAATTTGGCTCACAGATCTGTGATGGGTTGTCCCATTTGCTGGGATTTCAAAGCTGCTATTACCAGCTAATTAGCCTCTGCACCACCGGGCAGGTGCGTCGCATCGCATTCGCGCTGGCCGTACTCGGCGATCCGCTGCTGATATGCGTGGATGGGCCTCCGGGTGGCATCGATCCCAATGGCAAGCGCACCCTTCACAGCCTAACCGCCTACATGCAGAATCGTGGCTGCAGCTTTCTTTACACTAATCTGTCCGGCTTGGACTGTGAACGGATGTGCCAGCGCACTCCGGTCTTATATGATGGCCAGCTGTGGACAATGGGCTCCCAGGAGCAGCGTTATCGTCGCGGTTACCTGCTGGAGGTGCACTTTAAGCGAAAGGCGAATGCCGATATTAGCACAGCGAGGACCACCTGGGACCGCATCAATCAGTTTCCCGTTTCACCACACAACAAGTTAATTCTCTTCGTTCAAGTGAAATTCCCGGAGGCGACGTTACAGTAAGTGGCCATGCATGCGCCCAATGTCAAATGTAGCTCAAATCTTCGACTAAATCCCACAGACATCAGCAAGAGAGTTCCATGACATTCTTTATACCACGCAATTCCACTAATTTCTCGGAAATATTTTTGATCATACGTAAGGACGCATTTGAATTGAACATTGAGGATTTTTATATCACTCGTAACATTGTCACGGGCATACAAACAGATCTTTTCGATCGTTCAGCACTAAAGATGACCACCTAAGCTATGTAATTATCACAAATCTAAGTAAAGTCAACATAAATGGTGTCCTTTACTCCAAGCTCATAATAAACTGCATCTTGCGTACTCTTCAAGTGCCATACCCAATTTGTCACTTGTAAATGTAATACTGCAGGTAATCCAGCAGTCGTGCAACTCCCGTCAAGTCTATTGTCGAATTGTTCTTTATTTTCGAGCAATCTCTATATATAAAACTGTTTGTCCTGACTGACTGACTGACTGATTGGTGATCAACGCACAGCCCAAACCGTAAGAGCTAGGAAGCTGAAATTTTCACTGTAGTTACCTTATGTGATGTAAGTGCACGTTAAGACGGGGTTTCGGGAAATTCCACCCGCTAGTGTGCAGAAAAATCATTTGGGACGTGTTTCACACTTTTCGCAGAATTCAAACTTCTTCGGGGGAAATGCGATTTAAAGATTTTTTGGGCGAAGTTTTAAGTTGTGTCCGATTTGCTTCAAACTTATTTTCAAAGCTCTTCATAAGAACTTAATAACTACGTATTTCAGCGATTTGGGAAATTCCACCCGCAACAGTGGTAAATTGGCGGAAAACGGTTGTATGAAAGTTTTTTGTTTACGATCCGATCGACCCCAAACTTATTTTCAAAGATCTTTGTTCAAATTCATTTGAGGGATGTTTCACACTTTTCGAAAAATCCATTCCTCCTTGGTGGAAATGGAGGACAAAGATTTGGTGGGTGACGTTTCGCGCTTAAATTCATTTCCAAAGATCTATATGAAAATTCATTTGAAACGAGTTTCTCACTTTTCGCAGAATTCAAAATTCTTCGGTAGAAATGCGAAAAAAATTTTTTGAGTGAAGTTTTATTTTTTCCCGATTTGCTTGAAACTTATTTTCAAATCTCTACATAAGAATATAATGAATACGGGTTTCAGCGATTTGGGAAATTCCACCCGTAACAGTGGTAAATTGGCGGAAAACGTTTGTATGAAATTTGTTTGTTAACCGCCCGATCAGTTTCAAAATCATTTTCAAAGCTTTTTGAGAAAATTTATTTTATAACATACGTGCCACGGGCAAGGCCGGGTTGTACCCGCTGGTATATAATATGACAGCACGATTCCACAACACTCTACTCTATTGCAACGAACATCACGCTAACCTTCGGATAACATTGAAACAAGAATACTTGATGGTTTACTGTTAAAGATGTCATTCAATTCAAATACCGTTATATTGCCTTGTTAACAGTATGTTATAGTTTAAAAGTGACATAGAATATCGATAACATTTATCCGTCAGGTATCGGCTAACGAAGAACCGTAACAATTCACAGCTGCGTAAATGCCAGCTGAATGAAAGGTCTACAGGGTAGTTACTATGATACTGAATTGGAGCAATGAAATTAAATTGATTAAAAATTGATTATTGTTTTTAAGTTATGTTTGATTTATTTATTTAATAAATTCTTTCTTTGGATGTGTACAACTAATCTACCGAAAATAAATTGTGCTTACACTCACGATATAAATTTTAAAAAGTTACCAAGCGCAAAAATGTTATACAAAAGTTGAACAAGTCTTTGGTTACAAAAAATAAAAAATAAAAACTACTATTTTTTTCTAGAAACCGTTTCTAGATCTTCTATTTGTTCCTATACACGGTTTCTTACCTTTAATTTTGCTATTAAATCACACATTTTACAAGGCAATGCCGTTTATGTACGTACGTTTCTATCTTAAAACCCTTCTTGGTAAACTTAGCATCTAAGTTGTGATATTGTTGGGATCACCGACAGTAGTTCTACCTAGTATTCCGTGGCAGTTTCCGCATTGGGGTATGAAAGCCATATTAGGTAAATATAGTCGAGTAAGTCTGGATACTCAGCAACCGCAACAATTTCGACGGGATCTGCTTACAAACAGGGGGAAATAATGTAATTAATATTTATAAGATAGCAATTTTTTTTACAAAATACTACTTGAGTAGCTCAAAGACTACATTCGCAACCAAATGCCAAAAAATACAATTCTACATATACTGAAATTAGCACAGGTCGTTAATTTAAGCTAATTAATAAGTAGCAAAAAAAAAAAAAAATCAAGATATCAATTGGCTACATAATAAAATTATTTAAAAGTGCGGCTAGCGGTTTAAAGCGAGGCTTAAGTACACAATCGGTCGCGGATGAGCATGTGACCAAAATATAAGCAACAGCTATTAGCAATTTAAAATTAAAATATAGTCCGGGACTAGCTCACTTCACGTTGCGCGTATCCTCAGCTTGTAGCTGAGCAAATTCTAAGAATATCTCTTCCAACGTCGTCTGAGTTATGGAGTAATCTTCCACATTTAGATCATCACGATTGCGCTCTATTAAGCCAAAGATTTCCGACCATTTGATGCCTTGCAATGGAATGTAATAGGTCAACATGCCCTGATATTCTTCCCTAAAATTCCAAGAATAGGTTAGGAATTATTTTAATTTGCATTTGCCAGAGACTTACTGCAAAACGGCGTCTGGGAAATTGGTGCTTACAAACTTCTTGACTTTGTCAATGTCATCCACAATATCCTCCGCACCTTGCCAATTGGGGGTATTCGAGCTACATGCCAACAATTAAGAATAATCATATATTTATATATATATTTATTAATATCATGCATACGGAGAATCTACTGACCTGCTCGTCCGGCGTATATCAGCAACGCTGGCCGAGTAGGGAATTGGTGTACCCGGCAACAGCTCCGTTGAGATTTCTGCGTTCCCCAAATTGTTGTCGCTACGGTCCAATGTTGTTTTGCTCCTGCCATCGTGTGCGATTGGCGTCGGCGCACTGCTGCCTTCGTATGCAAGCGGTGTCATCAAATTGTCATCGGAGACAGGCATTTTGACTGTGCTTTCACTGTATGGTTTTTGGAGTTGACTGTGCGGTTCTGTACTGCGTCTCACTTTCAGTTTAAGTACACGACCTTTGGAGAACTTGTTTTTCAAATGCTGCGTAGAGCCAATGCACTTGAGCTCGCCGTTAACCATAACAGCCAGTCGTGTACATAGTGCCTCGCACTCTTCCATACTGTGAGATGTGAGCACGATAGATTTGCCTCCATCCCGTAGGCGACACACAATATTCCATAGGTGACGTCGTGCAGCTGGATCCATGCCCGTGGTGGGCTCATCCATATATATTATAGTCGGAGAGCCAATCACTGCGATGGCCGCGCTCAGTTTACGCTTATTTCCGCCGCTATATTTCTTTGTTCTTTTGTCGATATGCTTTGTAAAGCCAAATGTCTTGGCCAGATCCTCGGAAATAGTTTTAATGTTCTCCGGCTGCACGCCGCGCAACAGGCAGAAAATTTTAAGATTTTCACGGCCTGTTAAATTATCTAACAGCGCATCGAACTGCGGACAGTAGCCAATCTTTTCGTAAACTTTGTTCATCTCTTTCTTCAAATTCAGGCCCTGCACGTAAGCAGTGCCCAAGGATATTGTCTCGTCTCCGGTCATCATCTTGAAGGTAGTCGTCTTGCCAGCACCATTTACACCCAACATGCCAAAGCATTCGCTTCTACAATATGGATCACAAATGAGTATCTTTTCCACAGTCCAATAGAAATATAACTTCTTACTCTTCCACACAAAGCGACACCTGATTGACTGCAAGAAAGGGCCCATAATACTTGGACAAGTTATCCAAAACCAGATTCTTGCTGGCTTTCTCTTCGGGAGACATGTTCTCAACGCGCAGTTTCTCGTTCAGCACATCGTTGTCAATATCCGTACGTGGGGGTGGATGACGTCTCCTCCTATAATGTACACAAGCAAAGCAAGTTGAAGTCAAAATAACTTATTAAACTGCTAGCTTCTACAAGATATGGGCATCGGTCCGGTCCAGCACGAGCACGGACGTGCGCTTGAAAAAAAGTCTTGGTGTGCACGGACAATACTTTTAAAATTCCCGGCTCTTCACAAAACCCAAGCCAAGCAGGACGGACAGACAGACATGGACATGGCTAGATCGACTCAGCGGTTGATGCTGAGCAAAAATGTATTTACTTTATGGGGTCGGAGCAGCTCTCTTCTCCCACTCGTAATGGGTTCAGATAATAATGCGAATATGTAAAATTAATAATTAAAAATTGTTTGATAAATAATTTATGATAAATTGAAAAATCTATTGAAAAATGAATGAAAACATAGGAACCAAGAAATAGAAATGTCAAGCCGATCCACCAAAAAGATTTTGCGGGGTCACAGCTTGGTTTTATACCATATACTATTCATGAATGCTATACTCATGGTATGGGGCGAAAAGAAGAAGAAGAAGCAAAGCTGCTGTAAAAGTTCAAATGTTTGCTGTCAGGGTATCTTTTAGTCGTGCACACTCCACGAATGCACTGACGTTTGCACAAACTTACATTAACATTCCGCAGTTGAAGCGCATGCCATATGAGCCTAACACGAGTAGTATGAAAATGATGATGCCGACAAAGAGCATGGAAAGAATCTCGGTCAAAACTCCGGGATGTTCAAAAGCAAAGTAATCCGGAAGGCCTGTAGGGAGGGTTAGAGAGAAAAATGATAAGTGGAAGTTAGATAATGAGCCAATTCTGTTGGTGGAGTCTACTCACTGCAGCAACTAGGCACCATCTCACAGATTAGAATGGGCGGCAGGCCGCTAAGCTTGGAGCAGGCAGATCGCGAGGCAGCACTTATGCTTAACTTGTTGATAGTCATGGCCAGCGCGAAGTGTGGATAAAGATTGAAAATTCGATTCAGAGCTTTATATATAGTTGAATCGGAGTAAAAGTTTGCGAGTATAACGAAAGTAAGAAACATAGCTATGCCAAACAAACAATTAAATATAGAGATGCGTGCGTAGCCTGTCGATGCGTCCTTAAAGCATAACGAGAAGGCGTAGGTAAAGGGCAGCACCGAAAAGCCAAAGACGATCAACACCAAAGCGATGCGACCCAGCTCTTCAAATGTGCTAAAATGCGCTTCCTGGAAACAGGCCAAGGTCACAATTATAAGCACAGTCGTAAACAAAAGGGTGACGAAGTCCCAAAGAAACATTGAGAACCAGAATATCCATCCCTTGACGCCGCAAACGAACTGTAGCAGTTTGGCTCGCGATTGCCGTTCGTTTATCATAAACAGTGCGTAAAAGGCGGTAATAAAGCACATGCAGAAGGCTATATTAGAGGCCAACTGTGCGCCCAAACTGTTGCCCATCTGCAGCTGCTGCAGCAGGGTTTCCGTCTTATAGGGCAGCGGCCAATTGGAAACAGTGATTTTCGTATCCTCTCCGATCAGTTCCCGGGCAATCGCATTATGCACCATGTTAATTGTGAGGGGTGCCGTGTGCAGCGGCTGATTGTTCAGCCAGGCGATTATTTTGTCATTTCCAAAGCTGGCGGCTGCAAGGTATCGTGCGTTTATCCAAACCTGCAGGGACGCGCTCAAGTCCAGTATGTACTTTGTAAAGGGTTTATCGCCCGTGCTCTCGTATGTATAATCTGAGCCAAATGACTTTGCCAGGTCTTCGTATTTTTTGGCAATACGATAATTTAACGAATTCTCTGCCAAGCCTTGCACGCGTTCCATGACAGTCACCGCAACGGGATACTGTGTCAGGCCTATCGTTATCGGCGGCAGGTCTCGGCTGACACCAAGCGAACGTACAATCATTATTGTCAGAACCACAAAAAATATGGCCATAAAGTTTTGTAAGATTAGCAATAGAACTTTTCGATAAGAATAGATCGCCTTCTTGTAGATCATTGCATGCCATTGGTTCGACACCAGCTTCATGCCGCGCAACAGTTGAGAATTGTTCGAGAGGGCGGCATCCGCTGTAAACAGTTAATTGAGCTAATCAGAAAATGGTCAAATGGACCCAGAGAATAAGTTCAAGCACTGCTTACATTTCATTGACTCGGTGTCAGCATTATTGGGGACAGCACCACCTTTTAACCTATCCGCCAGTTCCTCCTCACTGCGATCGACTGTTACTTCGGCACCCATTTTCATGAATACCTCTTCCAAAGAGGTATTGCCCACGCCAAAGCCCTCCAGATTCAGTTCCGCTGTGCGCATCTCCAGTTCCTTAAATAGTTTCTCAAACTTAAACGAGTAGCTGTCGGGCAAATTATAGGCTAGCTCTGTCCCAATATCGCTCTTTGGCCGTATTCCTGGAATATACTTGCTAAGCAATGCCGTCACCTCCGCCGTTTGACAATTGTTCTTCTTGACACAGACCTGGATTAAAACAAACATATTATTGGTATAGGGTCTGTGTGTGTGTGTCTGTGTATGTGTGTGTTTATGTATGTATGTATGTGTGTGTGACATATTCTTGATCAGTATCAACAGCCAAGTCGATATAGATGTCCGTCTTTCTTTTTCTATGCGAACTAGTCTCTCAGTTTGAAAGCAATTTGCATATGCTCCTCTTTCTGTTGCACGCAGTACATATGTATGTTTGTCGGAACCGGCTGGATCAGACCACTAAATCATACAGTTACCATTGGAACGATCGGTCGAAATGAAGGTTCTTGTATGATAAACTTTTTTGTTTATTAAGATATCTCGACCAAGCTCGGCATTTTTTAGTTTCACTAAGCTTCCTATGTATAAGCAAAATCCTATCAACATCGTACGACTATATCATATAGCTGCCATAGGAACGATAGATCGAAAACTAGGTTCTTGTAAGAAAAACGTTTTTGTTTATCAAAATATCTTGACCAAACTCGGCATTTTTTAGTTTAACTGGGTTCCTCATATATATGCAAAATCCTATTCACATCGAGACACTATATCAAAATAATGCCATACTCGGCATAAACTATTTTCCCTGTGCTTCTTAGATACGAGCAAATCATAATGAGCATTATGAAAAGGTTCGGACTGGGTATTAAATCTTCGGCGTGCCGACGATAGCTCTTCTCTCTCGTTTTTAATTTCTTTAATTAAAATATCCTATTCATATTAGAAAATAATATAATGTACCGAACAACATTGAAGAAAATAAAAAAAAAAGTTTTAATGTCGGCGAGTGTGAATACCATGCCACGATAAAGAGAAGTGGGCGGCCGATATAAAAGGTACCTTTACAACTGAATTATATATATATTTTATTTATGAATATTAATGTTCATCATTTCTAGAAAAGCTGAAAGAGGTGCTTTCCATTATGACAGGTAATACATCATAATACATCAATCTAACCATTTAAATTTTAACTACAAACTTATGTTTAACTTTTGTATTTTTTTGTAACTTTGAAGCAATATATATATATTATATATCATATTTTTATTCCAATTTAATCATTTAAATTTCAAATACAAAATTGAAGCTCAACATCAGCCTTTGCTTGTAAAACTGGCCGAGCAAAAGATTTTAATTACAGAGCTACAGAGGGGTTATAATAACCAAATCAATCTGGCAGCAAAGTCCAGGGAAGAATTGCAGATGCTGGATATGGACATTGCGAGGGCGGATTGTGATTCATATGTAAGCCAATGATTTATCTTATACAAAACGGTATTACAAACTTCCCACTTCTATTAGATCAGAACAATGAGCTTACTTTTATTGCCCGCTGGCTTAGGTAAAAATTTTAAATTGTATCCAATGAGCTCACAATGCCCTATAAGAAAGATGGTGTTATTTTTTAGCTGTTAGAATTCATAATTATAAGGTTATTAGTTTGTTATCTAATGCCAAGAAGGCAATTTTTTAAATAAAATTAAAATTTTTTTAGAAAACTAGCAGCTGTATTTACACCAGCGAAAAAGCAAACCCCCTTCGCACCAGCATAATCGATAATACGTCATTATCGGTAATAAAAACTAACCAATTAATCGCTAGTCCTTACGAAGCAGCTTACTCGCTAAGTAAATATAGTCAACCCTCTTGCACCATGTAAGTCGCTAGGTCAATCATGCAACGTCGTAACGCTCGGTACGCGGCAATGGTGTTTCCACGGTTTGAGAACAGTTCCCAACCTCGAGAGTCAGCAAAATCGTTAATGGTGCATCGGTGGTCCCGAACTACAGGATACCAATAATAGTGGAGATGTGCCTCAAAAAACAACTTTATGGGATGATTTTACACTGTTTCCTACTATATTTGCTTGCTCAATTTTCCTTGCCTCCCTCCGGCATTCCCAGCAAAGCACTTTTACTTCCCCCGTGTGACATTTCGTATTTCGAATATATGTACGGCTAGAATAAAGTTCGAAAGTTGGCAGTTGGTACAGTGTATATTCTAGTCTGGCACCCCCAGCTAGGAGCAAATTTGTTTCCATCCGTTCGATTCAAACGGTTCACTTACCAGACTATAGCCAGGACCGAATTGCTTCTTCAGAAAGAATGAGGAACCGTTACATTTGATCATTCCATCGCACATGATGGCAATGCGATCACCCAGCACGTCGGCCTCATCCATAAAATGTGTGGTCAGCAGTATGGTGCGGCCCGCTTTCTCATGTCGCAGTAGATCCCAGAGTTGTCGTCGCGCGGATGGATCCATACCGGAGCTTGGCTCATCGCAAAGCACAACCTTGGTATCTCCGCAAAGGGCACAGCAGAGGGACAGTTTGCGTTTCATGCCACCCGACAATTTATCGGCAGGAGTGTTTGCTTTATCCTCCAGTTGAATCATCTTCAAATACTTGTCCACCTCTTTCGTTACTGCCTTGCCCTTAGCACCTTTTAGCCGACTGAAGAAGCGCAAGTGGTTCGCAACGCTCATATCGCCAAAAAGCACATTATGCTGAGGGCAAACGCCAAGAGACATGCGCGCGCCCTTGATATTGGTGCATATGTCGCTGCCATTGATGATGGCCGTGCCGGAAGTGGGCGGCAACATACCAGTCAGCATGGATATGGTGGTCGTTTTACCAGCACCATTGTGGCCCAGTAGCACGGTGATCTCATCTTCGAACATTTTAGCCGATATTCCCTTGACAACCACCTTGCCATCAAATACTTTCTTTAGATTTTTAATCTCCAGGCCAACGCGTTTGCCTCGAGGCTCCGCCTCAAAGCCAACCGAAGTATTTTGCTCCGGTTCATTGTTAATATTCTCATCGGTCTGATATTTATCTTTGCCGCACCAAAACACGCGCGTACAGGGGAAATACCATTTGCGCCGAACTCCATAATCTCCAGGAAATATCTGCTCAATATACAAGCAGATGAGCATATAGAGGGCAGCGGAGATCAGCAGCATGATAATGACATATCCAACGGTTAAGTTGTCATCGACGTTGACCGGCCTGAAAAGGTTACTCCACTGCAGGCCTTCTTCCGTACCCTCGAATCGCATTATTATAGTTATGCCATATGCCATTGCGGTATTCAATATAGTACACAGGCCCATCTTTTCGGAAAAAGTGAGCGAGTCATATGTTTCTGATGTGAACATAAACGGGACAAAGGTAATGAACCAGATAAGTCCTGTCACCGCTGCCGCTGTGCTGGCCTTCGAGAAGAAAGAGGCCATCATGAAGCAGAAGCAAATGGTGGCTGTTATGTACGCGAGGAAAAAAACTATCAGCACGGAAATATCGGCATGGGTAAAGACGGCGACGTTCTCGGAATAACGTATTTTCATAAAAACGATCATCAAAACTATCGATATGGTGAGCATGATGAAGAACTTAACAAACCAGGCGGCCCAGTGTAACCAGTTCTGCAGTCCCATTATTTTCATAACCTCCTTCAATTGCAATTCCTTTTCCATGGCAACGTACTGCAAGGGATTAAATTGACGTGATAACAGCTCATCGATTAACAGCGATGCAGTCGGCTGCAACCGACTGCGCAATACTCTGTTCACAGTGTAATTAAAGTTAAATGTGAGTAGGATTACCGACTGGGAGATACCCTCAAAAGGTCACCAATAAATGTCACATTAAATTCGGAGAAACAGGGTAAACAGCTTGTCCAGATTTGCAGTCTCCACCTCATATAGTCACTGAGATCGAAGCGTTTATTGACTCGGATTGGGTTTGGGAATACCTCCAACTGACCGTTGCATACCTTTGCACAAACCCATTATAAACTTTTTATAGCAAGTCGAAAAGAAGTTAATTTCAGACTAGATCTTAAAAAGGGGTCATCATACCTTAATTGAGCAGACGGGCGGACAGATAACAAAACCGCACGCACTAAAATACACCTTTTCATTTTGTGAACAGAGTATATGGACACAGGCTCACGATTGCTTACCTTGGTAATGCACGTGCAAGGATAGATAAAGCTCAACAGCATTAGGAAGGCGAACATAGCGCTAACTGAGTTTATAAATGGATCAATTACCCCGGCCGGATACGGATATCGTTGCATCACAACCTCGGGCAATTGTTCCGTACCTTTCGCCATTTTTCGTATATAGGCCATGGTAATCGCGTTCTGTATGGGCAGGAAACCCTCGCGCAAATAGCCCGGCGGTATTCCGCCATCGTCATCTTCATAATTACGCGGTCCTGCTATCATAGAAGATAAAAATAATCGCTTGGTTAGCCACGTTTTCCACAACGTGGCTGTTGCCGTCCGCAGCTCTGATGGAAAGCGCAATGTGTATTCAAACTTTTCCGGCAGTACTTTAATATTGGCCATGGATGCATTGAATAGTACGCCGGCAAAGGCATTTTTGCCTAGCACTTGGTTTTCAAGATCCTGGGCATTGTCGGCACCCGAAATGGTCATGCCCAAGCTCGTTGCCGCATCCTGCACTAAATCCTGCAGCGCATCATTCCTGGGCGAGTACACCAGCGTAAAGGCAGGCATAGTACTGTCGGATACCTTTTTTATGGATTCACTAAATATCGAATTTGTTGCAATTAGTTCTTGAATATTAGGATGTTCATGATTTAAAAAAAGTGTTCTTGCCTACGTATTCTATAAGTATGTACAATAAATGGAAGTTAAAGTTATAGAAAATATACAAAATTATTTTAAGTAGTTAAACTTGTTTGAACTTAAAATTTTAAGGTAAACAATAAAGTAAAGTAATAAATAACAAATAAAAATAAAAGAAATGCACGCCATATTTTGTTAGTGAATGTAAACAGCTGCTGAAAAACTTTTGCCTGAAACAAACGATATAATTGGGTGCACAGGGTAAAAATCAAAACTTGATCAAATTAAAAGACAAAAGCAAGCGAAAAACATATTTCTTTCTATCAAGGACTGAAACATATTGTCATGGATTTAAGAAAGCAAAAACCAACAAGATAATTTATATATTCCATGCAACTTTTGTTAGTGCGAGCATATTACAAATGTTGTATTATTGTTAAAACTACAAAAGTACACTTTGAAAAACATACAAGCCTAGTAGAGTTTGCTATGATATACCGATTCAGGAAATACCTAATTTTTTTGGGTGTCTATATATTTTAAAAACAATTCTTAGGGAGAGTTCATCGGCAATCTTTAGTCTAACCAAGTGGGCGTGGCCCAAAAAAATTTTAACCTTTTGTCTAACACGGAAACTCATGTTTTGAAACTCTCACTTTAATGCGGACAGGCGGACAGAGAGTAAGTCGGAGCTTCCAGAAAACCCGTATACGTGTTTCTTTTCTGAGCAGGGCAGCAAGGCCATCCTGATTACCCACAATCATATGTTTATTTCTCATTTTTGCTGACACTCCCAAATACAACAAAAAAAAAAGCTTGAAGCCTTAGTTGCTAAATCAAAATGATGTTCAATTATTACATATAATAATCAAAATAATAACAAATTTGTGCTAAGCAATATTCCTCTAGAATGGACTTTATGAAATATAGCTGCAAGCCGAACCAGTCGCTGATAACAATACACAACAAATCTAGCCTTTTTTGGTAAGGTTGCAACCTTACTTTATTGATAGATTTAAGCCCTCAAATGATGTACTTTAAAAAACCCAATGAAACTAGAAAATGCCGAGTTTGTCTTAGAAGAACTTAGTTTTCGAGCCATCGTTACAATGGCAGCTATAAGTCATTGACTTATTTTTAGGCCGTTAAAGCTTGTCATATAGAGTCGCAATAATTAAAATCGGTTGAGATTTGTCAAATCACCTGGAAAAACAGCTAAATACCTTTTAACTTTAAAACTCGTAAGAGCGTACTAGTCAACAAATGCCCGTCAAGGAAATACCCTAAACCCAGCACCGAGATACTGTAACAATCATTCTCGTTTGCCGCTATACCTCCAAAATGAGGTGTTTTTTTTTTTCAATTTTGGGGGGACTGGAACTTCGAGTAATATGTATACTACATTAGAGTCTACATACCAAATGTGGTGTCCCTTGCTCTTGTAAACTCCGAGATTTGGTTAAAAAACAGTTTTAAGGTGTAGATTTTTATCGATTTCATGAAAATGGGGTAAGTTATCGATAATTTGAAACAAACATGTGGTGCACGGGCTCTATGAGAAACTTTGCTCTCAATTTCAAGTCTCAAGTTCGTACGGACAAACATGACTAGATCGACTCGGCTATTGATGCTGATCAAGAATATATATAATATACTTTGTGGGGTCGAACATACTTTCTTCTGCCTTTGCAGACATTTCTACAAAACCATTAAATCTCTTCATCCATTTTCAATGGGTTCGGTGTATAAAAAATTATTCTTTATTCCGGGTGAGTCTACCAAAACATAAGGTTGCAGCCTTACTGGGTTTACACTGTGAACCGATGTGTAATATGCGAAAGCTTACATAGTTGCTTTTTATAACTTTGCAGACTGTGTAATTTAATTACTGCATATTTATTATTTGTTCTCTGATAAGAATGGTCCTTTAGTCGAAAAAAAAAAAGTAAGAGTTCTCTAGTGTTCTGACATGTTAGCTTCTTTCTAAAGATACACAAATACACACGTACTCACAGACACGTGCACACTTAATGCAGCAGCTGTGCTTCTTCTTCCCTCAGCCCCACTCTTTGTGGGATAATCATGCTAAAATATGTTCGATGTTTATTGTCCGATCTTTATGGAGTTACATTGAAACCTGTGTATACACCAACTCTTTAGCTCTTTAAGAAAAAAAAAATTTTTGTATTTACCAAAAAAAAGTCAAATAAGCTTAGCTTGTATATACTTTACGAGAACTGACAAGATCATGCAACAAAATCTACTTTAAGAAAAATGAAAATATCGTTCTGCGAATATATATTTCGAATATCTACCCTCGAAGTATTGGACCCGTTTATATGGACGGACATGACTGGTCAAAAAGGTTATAATCTTTTGAATAGTATTCTTCTGCAAAGGTATAAATATTCGGCGAGCCAAAAAAGCGATTAGTTGTATTGTTTTTTGTTATTTATATATTTATTTTTTTGGTTTTTGACTTGTTTGATTTCACTTAGTTGTTTACCTCTTTGTAGTTAGTAGGGTCATGAGCGAGTTCATGCGACGCCCATTTTCAATTTCAGATCTGAAAGTTGTGTTGATAACAAAATCATATTTACAAAAAGATTTTATAGAACGTATAGATATTTAATGCATACGTATGGACGTGCAGATAACCATATGCGACTGCTGCCCTTATCAATGTGAAAACCGAAATGGAAATACTCTATAAATGAAAACTGGTGCAATCTTTAAACTTAAAAATAGGTCGGAATAATCGCTATATCAAAAAAAGTTGCTTATATGTGGATTGTATGTTATATGCATCTACGACCTTATAGGGCATACAAATATTCTTCTAATCAGGTCGTGTCTGTTGGTCATACATCTGGAAATCGCAGATCTCAAACAGCTAGAGAAGCTCATATTCTGGAACTGCTTATCTATATATATATAAAACTGTTAGTCCTGACTGACTGACTAAATGACTTGGCGATAATAGCACAGCCTAAACCGAAAAACGTTTGTATGAAACCTTTTTGTTTACCATCCGATCGGCCTCAAACTTATTTTCAAAAATCTTTGTTCGAATTCAATAGAGGGGTGTTCCATACAGTTTGAAAATCCATTCCTTCTCCGTATAAATGGGAGTCAAATATTTGGTTGGTGAAATTTCGCGTTCAAATTCTTATCCAAAGATCTTTACAAAATTTCATTTGATACGTGTTTCACATTTTTTGCAGAATCCAAGCATTCTCGATGGAAATACGATTTAAAGATGTCCGATTTCCTTCAAACTTATTTTCAATTCAGCGATTTTAGAAATTGCACCCGGTACTGTGAAAATTTGGCGGAAAATATTCAATTTTTTTTGTTAACTGCTTCAAACTTTAAAAGAATTCATTTGGTACGATTTCGCATGATAAACGAAGGTTTATTTTTCGTCTTCAAGGTTCTAACCACGGACGTTTACTTGGTGGAAAATCTAAAATCTAACCCGGGCAATACCTGTAGATAATCTATAAGAACTAAGTATATTTGTGCACTGATTTTGTGGAAATGAAGTAAGATATTGATAATTTGAAATAAACGTAATCTGCTCGGGCAATAGGAGGAGCTCCATTCCAAATATAGATGTGCTCTACGCTTTCACATATGCTTCCTCATGCAGATGGACTTAATGCCGTTTTAACATTTACCGAGAGATACATATATCCATATTTTAATTAAAACTTAAACAATAAAAACAAGGAAGAATACTGAATTTTGCACTCCCAAAAACTAAATACATAAGGGAGATGTGCGGTATAACAGTGTACTCATGTGTATTCATACAAAAAATCAAATTTTTTCCATATGTTAGAAGCACAGATGGCCGCTATAGGCGGAGCTACAAAAAGAATAAAGTGTATTAAAGTCAGTAATTTCAGTTGGCCTTGTCGCTCACGGGGGCAGCTTGAAACAGGCCCTGGGTATGGATATGTCTCTGCCAGCTGAGCTGACTACTGATAGTCGGGCAAGAGAATGCAACCTTATATAATTATACCAACCGAGTCAAGGACCACTAAAATAACACGTTTCATTTCAAAATGAATCATAAAAATTTAAAAAGAATATAAACAAACGTTGGGAACGAAGGCGACTGCGATTCAAAAAGTACTCTGAGCCATAGCCCATTTGTGAGAAAGCTTAAGAAGTATCTGTATACAAACTGGCAGTAAATAATTGCTATAAATCGCTTCAAGAGGTACCTTATATGGGCCCAGGGCACAAGAATGTGATGGACTTTCATAACAGACAACCTGGTGAGACGTGGAGAACATTGATATGCCCATAGCGAAAGGTGAAAGAAGCGGCATTAATGTCGACCAGCAGTGCTCTAATAGGGTCGAGGGTAAGATATAGATATATAGATATATAGATATGTAGATATATATATATATATATATTTATATTGATATATTGAAATATTGAAATATTGAAATATTGATATATTGATATTTTGATATTTTGATACATTGATACATTGATATATTGATATTTTAATATTTTGATATATTGATATATTGATCAATATATTTGTATATAGATATATAGATATGTAGATATATAGATACGTAGATATATAAATATATACATATATATGTAGATATATAAATATATATATACGTAGATATATAGATATACAGATATATAGATATATAGATATATAGATATATAGATATATAGATATATAAATATATAAATATATAGATTTATAGATTTATAGATATATTGATATATATTTATATAGATATATAGATATATAGATATATAGATATATAGATATATAGATATATAGATATATAGATATATAGATATATAGATATATAGATATATAGATATATAGATATATAGATATATAGATATATAGATATATAGATATATAGATATATAGATATATAGATATATAGATATATAGATATATAGATATATAGATATATAGATATATAGATATATAGATATATAGATATGTAGATATATAGATATATAGATATATAGATATATAGATATATAGATATATAGATATATAGATATATAGATATATAGATATATAGATATATAGATATATAGATATATAGATATATAGATATATAGATATATAGATATATAGATATATAGATATATAGATATATAGATATATAGATATATAGATATATAGATATATAGATATATAGATATATAGATATATAGATATATAGATATATAGATATATAGATATATAGATATATAGATATATAGATATATAGATATATAGATATATAGATATATAGATATATAGATATATAGATATATAGATATATAGATATATAGATATATAGATATATAGATATATAGATATATAGATATATAGATATATAGATATATAGATATATAGATATATAGATATATAGATATATAGATATATAGATATATAGATATATAGATATATAGATATATAGATATATAGATATATAGATATATAGATATATAGATATATAGATATATAGATATATAGATATATAGATATATAGATATATAGATATATAGATATATAGATATATAGATATATAGATATATAGATATATAGATATATAGATATATAGATATATAGATATATAGATATATAGATATATAGATATGTAGATATATAGATATATAGATATATAGATATATAGATATATAGATATATAGATATATAGATATATAGATATATAGATATATAGATATATAGATATATAGATATATAGATATATAGATATATAGATATATAGATATATAGATATATAGATATATAGATATATAGATATATAGATATATAGATATATAGATATATAGATATATAGATATATAGATATATAGATATATAGATATATAGATATATAGATATATAGATATATAGATATATAGATATATAGATATATAGATATATAGATATATAGATATATAGATATATAGATATATAGATATATAGATATATAGATATATAGATATATAGATATATAGATATATAGATATATAGATATATAGATATATAGATATATAGATATATAGATATATAGATATATAGATATATAGATATATAGATATATAGATATATAGATATATAGATATATAGATATATAGATATATAGATATATAGATATATAGATATATAGATATATTGATGTATAGATACATAGATATAGATATATATAAAGATATAGATAAAGATATATAAGTCAACTTACTTAAATAACTGTAAATTGTCGATTTTTTGTTGTGCATAATGCAGTTCTTCTATGTTATCAACTTCAACCACGACGCGTACCAGTGCCACCAGCAGAATGAAAAATACCGGGAGAAGCAACTCGAAAACAAGTTGCGTTTTGTGATTGCATTGAATAACCCAGTTTTTCCAAAGCAAGAGCAAAAATTTATCACATGTTGTAACTTTGCCCATGTTGTCTCATCCCTTCATATCCTGCTCCTAACTAATTTAACTCGCCTTATCCTTGGATTTCCATACAATAGCGTGTGAGACTGAAAGAAAGTTAAATAAAAATAATATAAAATAATATATGCAAACAATCAATTTGAAAACTTATAACATTAAATGCGATCCTTACGTTGCGAACAAACGAGAATAGAAAATGTAGACCAAAACCAATGAATACTATAAGAAAACCGATTAAAATTCACATTGCATTCTGAAATGGTTGTTTTGAGCATCAATATTCGAATGGCAACAAACATCGATGGGGTTCAAGGGAAGACGGCGTTAATAGACAAAAATGACCAACATTTTCGAATGATGCTTCAAATTATTGAGTATTTTAAATTTAACAGGTAATTGGAAGGCATCCAATGTAACATATTCTGCGTCTGTGTATACCAAACGAGTGGTATTATATATTTTATGGGAGAGATGTATCCGCTTGCCTCTTACGGACATTGGACATTGGCACAAAATCATTTTAACCTATTTTCATTTGAATCCGAGTACACAAATTGCTCGGCATTGTCCGGGTCAAATGAATAATGTTGAAAAGGCGATTGAACCGAAATTGTTTGTACCATTCGCGCCAACATCGAAAACATAGAAAGCGGCACTAATCGTAAAATCACATCTGCACATTCATCATAATTCCACCTCGTAATCTATTTATAACTGGTCCATTGCAAATGAAATTGTCCAGTGAGATCATAGCCCGTTTCTTCACTTCGGGCAGGCCGCTAAAATTATTATTCTTTTATCATAGAAATTGTCTCGTCACAAATTGCACTTATATTTGAACTAATTAAAATAAAATAAAATATATAATCGACGACTCTGCGGGACCTGCCAAATATAAATTATGAGCATTACTGTTGGCAGATCAATAAAAAATATTTATCATTGTTAACTCCCATTCCTTTTTATTTTTTTAATATTTTTCACATTAATATATTGTTTTTCTTTGTGAATGAAATTAATTTAATTAATACCGGCGACTTCCCCTTCGTTGGTTCAACGCAGAGTCACATAGACCATACTGGCTTAAGGCATCACGTTTGCAAATCTTTATTTCTTGATATTTTCCTTTAATTGCAGGACAAGTTTTCCGAAACCCCGTTTCAGTACTGACTTGCGATCCAAAAGGAAGCTTCAATAAATAGTCAATAGTCAATGTAATGAAAATGACTGTTCCAATTTCCGAGCGTTCTAAAATTGTAGGATTTTCTATTAGCTTTCTCCAACATGCTCCTTAAAGGGTAACATTGAAAATCATATATACAAAATACAAACTTATCAAATGTAGAATGTCTATCGACTCAAGCAATCGAGTATGTATATTTTGTACCTTTAAGCCGAATTTATACTCATTTATGTCTCTAAAGTTTCTAGGTGGCACCATCCAAAACAGGTTTTTACTGGATACATACTACATAGGAGCTCATATGCCCGATTTACTGGTTTTAGCTCTTATAATCTACAAATAATACTTAAGCAAACGACAGTGCTCAGAAGTACCCGACATGGAGATACGCTGAACCTTCACCTACCGAAAACACAACCTTATTGTGCCATTGAATATTCGTATATTAACAATGCGGCTGTACTTTTAATTTATTATTTATGTGATTTTGCGGGATGGAGAGTCGGTATGAAAAAAATTTAATAAACCTGAGCTGTAATCTTCATGTCATTGTTCTGCCTGTTCAATACACTTGTCGATATTATAATTATCAATTTAAGAGAAATCTAGGGGATATTGCCCGTCCTTGCCCGTGGAACGTTTTGTGCTACAAGTTTTAGGTATTAGCTTTCCACTAAGTACACGCCCGTAGAAAATTGAAATCTACATACCTGGTTCTCCAGAAGAAAAAATATTTATTTAAAAACATGTTTTAAGTGCATCGAATAAAGAACCAAGTGTTGGAATCAACGGTTTCCGACCATGTTCGTCTTGCGATGAGAATCTTGAAGCTGAAGAATAAACTTTCGCTTATTAAACCTCTGACCCGCATTTGCATTTAAGTAAATGCTCACAAAGATCTTTAATAAAGGGTTTTGAAGCCGATCGGATGGTAAGCAAAAAACTTTCATACAATCGTTTTTCGCTAATTAACCAGTGTTTTGGGTGGTATTTCCTAAATCGCTGAAACTCGTATTCATTAAGTTCATATGTAGAGCGCTAAAAAATTAGTTTGACAAAACTTAAAACTTCACCAAAATAATGTTAGAATCGCACTTTTTACCGAGGAAGCTTGGATTCCGCGAAAAATGTGAAGCACGTCTCAAATGATTTTTCAAATAGATCTTTGGAAATGAATTAGAGCGCGAATCGTTACCCACCAAATCTTTGACCCCTATTTCCACCAAGAAGGCATGGATTTTCCAAGAAGTATGAAACAGCCTTCAGCTAAATTTTGACAAAGATCTTTGTAAATGTTTCTGAGTCTGATCGGATGGTAAACAAAAAAGTTTCATACAAACGTTCTTCGCGATTTTTCCACACATGCGTGCACCTTCATCACATAAGGTAACTACAGTGAAAATTTCTTTTACTTAGCTCCTACGGTTTGGGCTGTGGGTTGATCACCAATTCGTCAGTCAGTCAGGCCAAACAGTTTTATATATAGAGATAAAGATAAAGTGCAAATATCGAATAAAAACATGTTTAACTCGCTCTGCTTAGTTCTTTATGGTGTTAGAGACGCCTGCTTTTGCATGTTACACATATATACAGAAATCTATCATACCCATTTACACGGATTTTCAATGGGTACAGTATCCTGGATATCTAATCAACGGTCAACCGATGGTTATAAGAAAAAGCTTGGAAAATGCATTGTTGGACAATAAGAACAGAGCGTAAAACCCGAATCAATTAGATGTGCTCGACTAACAGATACACTGTATTTAGCACATTCGTTATAACATTCTAACAAATATATGTTACATATTTACAAATATATTTATTTAATAACCGTATAACATCATATAAAGAAGTAATATTTAATGTTATTTTGGTTCAAAGCACCACGATTTGAATTCTTCAAATATAAATTCCAAAATGTTTATGCAGGTTCTAATCGATGCAGTTCATTGTGCATATATTCCAAATATGGGGAATGGGGGAGTTATCCAAAAGTAATATATTTTTCATCTGGGTGTACTAGAACTTACATACCAAACTTGGTGTAATTATGTTCAAACAACCAAACAACCAAGAGATATCAGCAATAATCTCCTTTTGTGTATGCCATAGGAGAATATATACTTCAAATTTCAAGTTTCAGGTTTTGTAGTTTTCATGATTGAGGCGTTCAGATGAGCCGGGCATAGCTAAATCGACTCAGCTGCTCGTCCTGATCAAAAATATATACACGCTATGGGGTGCGACATGCCTTCTTCTGTCTGTTGCATGCACTTACACAAAATCAATATACCCTTTTAATGGGTACAAGTGTAATGAATAATGCGCTTAATATACTCGTGTGGCCTTAAACTAGTCAGTATAAAAAAGATCTACTAGCATATTTTAAAGCAAGTAATGTAATTGTTACAAACGGTTAGGTTTGTACAAAGTATATAAATATCGAATTCAATGTTATCGACTATGAGAGACCTACGTTTGTTTCCATTTAAATTGTTTGGAGTTTAAAAATAATAAAAAACAAAAATAAATTCGACTTTAAGTTGTCTAAGTAGCTGCTCCTGCAATAATCTAATTATTTTATGGTGGTGATTAGATTACGTTGCCGTAAGGTAATGGTAGACGGAGTTCAAGACAATTTCTCTCTCTTATATGAATTTCAAAGTTCAATTACAGTTCGATTAGCTTATTTATAAAGCTATAAATGATTTTAAAAAAAATTCTTATCACGTGTTTCCCAGATTTTGAAAAATTCGTACCCGCGGTTAAAGCAAACCTCTCAACCTTGAACTCATTTTCAAAATGTCATTCGAGAATTGTTTAACCGACTGAAGCCGCACTAGGTTCTAGTCGGGACCTCCCGACTACGGGATACCTTGAACCCTCTTCTTTCAACACCAAATGGTGTAGTAATAAAGAGAAATTTAAAAAAACATAAATTGTTCCCTTGGCAGTGTTCGAACTCGCAACTAACCGCACCACTTGCCGCCGCCTCTACTCAAGCGCCACACCAATAATTGAGTTTTAATGAGAAAAAAAGCAAATAAAAAAGCAACACCGAAAACAATACAATCGCAATTGCAATGCTGCTAATAGAATTCAAAGCAGACGCGCATGAATGTGTGTGTGTACATGTATACAGAAATTCTTGGAATTTGCGCTAACTGCTGCTAACACTTGCGCACATAACTTTTGTGTTTCTTAACCGATCTTAAAAAAATATAGAATAGAATATAGAATATTTGTGTATTCTCAAAAAGTCAATTGCATATAGATTGTGGCTTAAATTGATGGGCAATACAAGTTGGATAATTAACTTGGGAGGCGGGGAGGTAGCGTTAGGTATAAAATGAAAGATACTTGATATATATATACTAATCTAGAAGCTACATGTCAAGTTTGGTGACTCTAGCTCATATTATTTACCAAAATTGCCCAAAAAATAGGATTTCGATATCGATTTTTATCGATTACTTGGAAACGGAGCAAGTTATCGAACATCGGAAACAAACTCGATCTGCGCGGGCATTAGGAAGACCTACAGCTAATTTCAAGTCTCTAGCTCTTATAGGTTCTGAGATCCTTGCGTTCATACATACGGACAGACGGACAGACAGGCAGACGGATATGGCTAGATCGACTCGGCTATTGATGCTGATCAAGAATATATATACTTTATGGGGTTGGAGATGCTTCCTTCTGCCTGTTACATACATTTGCACAAATACATTATACCCTTTTTACCCATTTTTAATGGATTCAGGGCATAAAAAGAAAGTCTCAAATTATTGATAATAACGCTCCTATACTTAAGATTAGAATTAACACAGTCAGAATGAACTGACATGGTAATCTTGATTCTTTTGTTATCATTAGATGATAAGTTCTCGTAACATACAT